GTCTTACATTGAATGATTCTACAGGAAAATCTGTACGCTGAAATCGAGAATGAAGAAATACAGTGTATTCTGCTATATAAATGATAAAGGAAAACAAATATGCCTGAAAATAATTCGCAAAAGTATATAGGCTAAAAAGTAAAGTACCCGAAAAATGTGCTGAAAATTGAATTAAATTTTTATATATTTCACAATTCTAAAAATTTCACGGAAAAATATAATTAATTCTCTTCGGCCTCAATATTCTTATAAAAATAAATAGGCCATTTTCCCAAAGATGATCAAATCCATCCACTTCAATTGAAGTTAAAAACAATTCAACGGCAAAAATTGAAAGAGAAGATTTCAGTGAATAACGAACTATAGGAAATCCTTGTCTGCAAAAATGCATTACACCAACTAAACATTCTGCTGCATTATCCATTAATTTTACGAAGGCAATATCACTAATCTCTTTATAATTTATCTTTTCTGCATTAGTTTCAGAATCAAAATTTGATACTGCATTTTTAAATGTCTTGTACATTTTTAGATGTTCAATTCCTTCATCAAGATTTTTCTATTAAAATTATTTTATGTAGAATTTTTTATAAATATTAATTAAAAGATAATGTTTATTAAATTAGGGTTTGGAAATTAGTTTTACAAAGCGATCTACAACAGAGGTGGGTCGGAAAGTCAGAGGTGTCGGGAATCGTAAGAGCCTTTAAAAAATTACAGTTTCGGCCCATATTTGATCCATATTTTGGATTTTAGTCCATATTATACATAAAAAAACGTGTTTGATAGGAAAAACGCGTTTTGATATAAAGAACGCGTTGATAGGAAGAAACCCTGTTCAAGATACGGAGACAAATTTGTTCTGGAAAAATCATTAGTCGGAAATATGCTTTAAAATTGCCGGAAATCGGAAATTTTTCCAAAATTTCGCAAATCGGAAATCAAAATTCTGACCCACTTCTGGTCTAAAATATATTGAAATATTTTGTGGCCCGAAAATATGAAAGAAATAACTAATATTTTTAAATTAATATAACAAACAAGTCAAGTAATAAAATCGTTCAGTTTACCTGTATACTATCATTTAACATGTTCAGACTTTCTAGTCTAATTTGTTCTTTTCTAGGTCCCTTGGGCGGGTAAAGCATTGAATCAATTCTCGTATAAATTTGATTAATTTTATCTTTTCCAAAATTATAAGTTTTATTCATAAATTCTTTTTTAATATAATTTCCCATGTATCTAGTTTGATCGTGAAACTTATCTGGGTGTTGTTCTTTTAAATATTTAATTTGATTAATTCTCGTTTCTATATTTTTAATTTCCCAACAAAAATTATAAGTCTTGGGACTTTTACTGTAATTAATTTCAATTTTCAGAAGTGTACAAATATGTTTGGCATTTTCTAAAATTCTTTGGTTAAACATCAACAACAGTTCATAATCGTCATCATCCGTTCTTTCTGTAATTTTTGGAAGTTTTTAAATTACTTAAAAAATAATAGCAGAATCTATATCGATAAAAATATTTTAAATTAATTTGAATAAATTGCTTTTAAATTTGTGATTTATAATACCTGAAAGATTTAGGTTTTGGTTGACATCTATCATGAATTCATCTAAATTGATTTGCTTTGATCTCAAAGAGTTTAATATTATTACCTGTAAATGCATCCTCGTGAAGAATCAAGTTACGTCCTTTTATGAAAATTCATTTAATTAATATAATAATAAATTTATTTCTATTTTATTTAGACATTAAATTCTACAAATCTATAGAATAAACTTAATAGTTATATCCCATTTAAAATTATATTACACCTTTTATATTTACTTCAGAATGATTTGATACATCATTCTCGACATCAGGCCAGTACCATTTATTGTCATCTTCCCTAATATTCTGCTGTAATTCCTCTTGTTGAATTTTATTATTTTTTCTATATGTCCTGTTACATGTTCTGCAGAATTTTTTCCAGCAATAATTCCTTCTGGTTTTTTTTTTGATTATGCATCTTCCAGGGCAAGAAGCATACTTTTTAGCAATCCAACACGAATCATAACAATCATTCAAGGTTATTTCAGAGTTTTGCTTCATTACATCCATTAATGAAAATGGTGAAGGAAGCATCAAGATTAGTAAACAAAACATTTTAATAATTAATTTTAATAAAAATTATTTACTTTTAATAAATTGTTAAATATCATCTATATAAATATTAAAATTTATTTAAATAATTTTAAAAATATAAAAATACAAGCGACATTTTATTTAAAGGTTTTTACTAATCAAATTCGAAATTTCGATTTAATTTGCACTTGTACTTTCTGTCCCTCTTGTTTGTCTCTTTATTTTAGACTTTAATTTATAAAATTGCACTTTATCATGTCGAAATATAATAGTGTAAATTAAAATGCCAAAAATAAGGGAGATTCAAAGCAAGAGTACGAAATTTCGAAATAGTTTTATTACTAATGTTGAAAGCGTGTCTGAACCTTTGGAGTGATTTAATTACAAAACCCGCCGGCGATGCACTCACGAATGAGGAAGCCCGATTTGCGGTAATCTTCTAGTTTACTGGTCCCGAAAAAAATAGGAAGAAGTGCTGCTTTGTACGTAATTGGGTCTGCTGAACCCGAATCTGAGCTTAGAAGCTTTATACGAGGTGCATTATAATTCCAGGTGCGGTAATTCTTTTAAAATCGATTTAAGTTTTCAAATATGGGGAGGTTTGTCTGGGTGAAAGTGTTTCAAATCGGAGAAATTCGATATCATTTCGTTCAAGAAATTAACTTTAACATCTATTAGAAATGGATCTTATGGAACTAGTTTAATTTGCAAAAACGGCACGCGCTTTGCGGGAGTCATGGGTCGCTGGGTTCTACAACAGATAAATATATTTCTTTCTCCATTCTCGGCCTCGATTTGCCGACCTACCTCCGCAGCTCACAAAAATCTGATTCGACCCATAAACTGTGATTGGACTCATAAACTATAGTAAAGCCAAAATTTTTATTAGCATAATAAATCATGTTCGGGTTTATAAAATTTAATCGGACTAAAAAGTTTTGTTTGGACTCAAAAACTTTTCAATGGACCATAAAGTTCGATACGACCCGTAAAGTGAAGTGAACTGTTTGTAAGTTCACTATAATACCCTCGGTTCTAAGCCTTGGTCGAATTGGATTTAAATATAAATTTATTCAAGGGGTTAAAATAATATAAGTTAAAGAGTTAAAAGGTAAAGTTCAATATAAGACCAAATAGGTGAAAAACTGGCGGATATATATAGTGGAAATTTAGGCAAACAAATATTGTTATTGAGATGGACAGGTCGAGAGATGGGTAAACAAATATCAAAACAAAATGTGAATAATAAGAGATAAAGATTGGCCGTAATAAATATTAGATTGGGAAAGTCGGGGATCTCTTTAATTGAGATGACAGGTCAATTCTTATCATATATTTATATTTTTGGGAAAAGTTATTTTTTAATTTGTTTATTTGTTTATGCGAATGCAGCAGTAGGCTAGCAATAAACAATAGGGCCGCCAAAAGAAAAATCAAACGGGAACTCATGTTATACAGAAAGTGTCATTTCGATGAAAACTAATTTACCAGTTTTGGCTCTATTGTTAACTCTCTGTATTTTCAAAAATTCTAAAATGAAATTAAATGTTTTAATTAATTGTTTGTTATAATACAAGAATAATAAAAGTTTCGATATTTTAATTGCGACTTCTAACTCCATTAATTAATATATAGCTTGTTTAAATTCTTTCTCTCTATACATATAATCACTCTCCAATTTTACAATCAAACTAGTCATATGAGATTGACTTACTTGCTTCCCTCGATAGACATGCCCTTGTAAAATTTAAAAATAAAATCCTAATTATAAACCCAAATCGAAATTTCGAACTTATTTTTATTACTAAAATTGTATTTTAAAAATCAATTAAATTAAATTTATTAAATAAAAATTAAAAAATCCTAAATTTTAAATAATCTAAAACTTGAAATACTGTCTGTCAAAATTTGTACGTTACATAAACTTACGTTTACCACTATGTTTTATCTAACTCCATTTGGAATAGTCGGATTTAATTCAAATTTCGCGAAAATACATATAACAAATTTGATTATAATTTAAAAACAATTGTTAAAATGCCAAAGGAATTTTGGAACAAATTTTATTTCCAATTTTTAATAAAAAGAGTGTTACATAATATACGTTTATTTTGCTAAGTAAAGATTTTCGACATTAGGAATGGTTCGAAAAATCTACAAAAATTCCTGTAAACATATAAAGTGATATTAAAAGAAAATACAAAAAAATGAAGTTCCAGTGAAGTCTAAGCATCGAGATTTAAAAACCCAAAAAGAAACGGAAAACAGGGAGTAAACGTCTTTAAATGATATTTTCGACCCATTATAACCTGTATTAAATTTTTATTTTATGCTTCTCTGAAAGCCTCTAAAATTCGCTATAATAACGCCGATTTTTATTTTTCATAAAAAATTTTTTTTTATAAAATGCATTGAATATTTAAAGCGATAAATATGGGGTAAATTCAATTATTTTTAAGTCCAGTGAATTTAACACTGATTGCCTCGAATGCTAATTTTTTTGTATAATAATTTTAAAGTTTTATTTCAAATTTAATCGGTTTCAGAAAAGTAGAAAATAAAAATTTAATACAGCCTATAAGGGGTCGTGTTACCGATCGAGATCGAAATTTCGAAACTATGAAGCGTAAGCGATGCTTGTCATTTGACATCTTTTAATAAACAGCATAGTAAAACACTCTTAATTAAAAGGCTACACTCTTTAAATATCCCCTCCATAAATAAATATCCTCCCATTCAAACAATTTTACTCTAGAAAATTTTAAATGAATATTTACCTTTGTATAATATTCCAATTCCTAATTTTGGAATGTTTTTATTTGCCGGGTAAGTTATATTAAATATTTATCATAATTATTTTCAAGGAGCAAATGCTGGATGTTTTCAAAGTCAACATCAAAATAGCGAATCGGAGACTGTAGGCGAGTTTAAGAAAATTCTTTAAAGTTTAATAAAATAAATAAAATTTATTCACTAGAACAACCACGACAAGTTCAAAGTCATTCTTCATCCCGCCGCAGTCACAGTCAACTACAAGGTATTTCTGAATAGAAATACAGCCGAAGTATTTCAGAATATTTTTGACACAATATATTTTTCAAGATCACTTTCTATTTTTCGATACTCCCAAAAAGGCCATTCAATTAGAGGGCCATTCAAGAGGCATTTAGAGGGATTCTGAAGGATGTTGATGAATTTTGATGTATTAAATTGATATCAGTGGAATTTTAGGGACATCAGAGAATTTGGGATTCGTAGGCCTATTGACGAGTTGGAGGATATCAAGTAATTAAAGAGGATACAGTGATTTTATAGGATTTGTTGGGATATCAGATAATTTGGATTCTTTCTTAATCCTCTAAAATCCCCTGATATCCTCTTAATCACTTTAATATCCCTCGTAATCCCTTTATCCATCCTAATCGCCTCAACAGTGTCATAATTATCAATACAAAAAGGAATAACAAGATAGATAATAAAGAGAATTAATAGTAAATACTGCTAGGTAGTTTCGCGTTAAAAAGGGCCATTCAATTGGAAAGCTATTCAAATTTAGGAGCCATTCTATTTTTCTTTCATTCATAAAAAGGGTCATACAATTGGGGGGCTATTCAAATTGAGGAGCCATTCAAATAGAATAAATACGGTAAATAAAATTTATACACTAGAACCACCACGACAAGTTCAAAGTGGTTCTTCATCCCGCCGCAGTCAAATTCAACAAGAAGGTAAAGTAACGCATCTCAAGGCCTATTTCTAAATATTTTTGACATTTAATAACAAGGTTAAATTAAATTTATTCAGTTGAACTCAAACGCCATCTTGAAGATCCAGTTGTTTGTCCACATGGAAATATATTTAGAACAAAAATAATTTTTCTTCAACATGAACGAATTAAAATTGAATCAGAATTTGTTTTAGATGATAAAATTGGGCATAGCAGAACTGCGAATGTAAGTCTCATTAGTGATGTTTTGATAAAAATTTTCTGAATCGGGGCTTGTTACTTTTTGCCAATCTTATTTGTCAAAAAAATTTTTAACGGTAATATTTTTAATTAAAGCATATTTAAGTACATATTTTTTGGTTTTATAGCATATGGTTTTTATAGTATATGACATATCCGTAAGCTGTTTAAGGTTTAGAAAATATTATTGTTAATTATTTATCAAATTTTGGATGTCAGATTTACCATTTAGAAAATATTATTGTTAATTATTTTTCAAATTTTGGATGTCAGATTTACCATCTAGAAAATATTATTGTTAATTATTTTTCAAATTTTGGATGTCAGATTTACCATTTAGAAAATATTATTGTTAATTATTTTTCAAATCTTGCAAATTCTAGCAGAGTCAGATTTGCCATTTAGAAAATATTAATGTAAATTATTTTTCAAATTTTGGATGTCAGATTTACCATTTAGAAAATATTATTGTTAATTATTTTTCAAATTTTGGATGTCAGATTTACCATTTAGAAAATATTATTGTTAATTATTTTTCAAATTTTGGATGTCAGATTTACCATTTAGAAAATATTATTGTTAATTATTTTTCAAATTTTGGATGTCAGATTTACCATTTAGAAAATATTATTGTTAATTATTTTTCAAATTTTGGATGTCAGATTTACCATCTAGAAAATATTATTGTTAATTATTTTTCAAATTTTGGATGTCAGATTTACCATTTAGAAAATATTATTGTTAATTATTTTTCAAATTTTGGATGTCAGATTTACCATTTAGAAAATATTATTGTTAATTATTTTTCAAATCTTGCAAATTCTAGCAGAGTCAGATTTGCCATTTAGAAAATATTAATGTAAATTATTTTTCAAATCGTGCAAATTCTAGCATGTCAGATTTGCCATTTAGAAAATATTATTGTTAATTATTTTTCAAATTTTGGATGTCAGATTTACCATTTATTTATTTATCAGCAAACCACAGGTATTTTAAAATACATTAATGTGGTGCAAAAAAAAACATAAAAAATAAATTAATGTCAAAAAAAAATATATATATGTAGGAAACAACATCAAAAATAAAAATAACTTTAAAAATGAACAATAAAAATAAATGAATTTAATATTACACATAAAAAAAAAACACAATAACGCTCAAGGTTAATTTTTCCAAAAATTTTATTTAGATTGTGATAATTTAATAAAACTTCTAAATTTTTTGGGATCATTTATTTTAAATGATTCATTTGGAAGATTATTCCATTTATTTACCACCCTATGAAAAAAATTATTTTTTGTTCTGTTCGTGTGTTTTTTAATCCTTAGAAGTAGAGGCCTGCGAAGTGATCTATTTGAAAAATTAAAATAATTTTGGGAATTAAGAGATGTAAACCCTTTTATAATTTTAAAAGCAGTGGAAAGATCGGCAATCTTTCTTCTATCTATTAACTTTTCAAGTTTGCAAGTATTTAATCTTTCTTCATATGGGACCTTGATTAATCCACATTTTTTGTAAATATTCTTAGTGAATAGTTTTTGAATTCTTTCGATTTTATCTATTTGATATTTCATGTGTGGATTCCACACTTCAGTTGCATATTCTAGCTGGGGTCTTATATAAGTTTTATAAATATTAACAAGAAGATTTAAGTCTCTAGACTTAATGATTCTTGTTATTTGGAAACTTTTTAGATATGCATTTTTTATAACCATATTTATATGGTTATTAAAAGATATTTTAGAATCAATTAAAACTCCAAGATCGCGAATGCATTCTGTTTCTTGTATTTTTAATCCATGAATGTTATACTCTCTTTTCAGGTTATTTTTCCCTAGATATAAGGCAAAGCACTTATGAGGAGATATTTCTAAACCATTTAACTCTGTCCATTTTTCAAGTTTCCATAAAGCTTTATTAAGTTCATCCCTTTCTATGCCATTTCTATGAGCTACATATAGTTTTACGTCGTCTGCATATAATTTTATTCCAATGTTTTCAGGGATTTGATTCGGAAGATCATTTATAAAAATAAGAAATAGAAGAGGTCCTAAGACACTACCTTGAGGTACAGCTGAGAATGTTTCATATTCGCAAGATATTTGGTCACCAATCTTAATCTTGAAATTTCTATCAGATAGAAAATTTTTAAGAAATGTATAGACTTTTCCACTAATGCCTGCTTTTACTATCTTATCTAGAAGAATATTTATCGGTACAGTGTCAAATGCCTTAGCAAAGTCAATGTATATGATATCTATACTATATCCATCTTGTATTGCATTATATAGATCATTCATTGTGGATAATAACTGTGTTGTTGTGGATCTTGATTTAAGAAACCCAAACTGATTTTGATTAAAGAACTTATTATCTTCTAAGTATTTTACTAATTGTTTTGCGATAATTCTTTCTAAAATCCTACACAGGGTGCATGTTAACGATATTGGACGATAATTGTTTGGATCTGATTTTTCCCCTTTTTTATATAGAGGTATAATAAGTGACGATTTCCAAATTGATGGAATTTGCCCATTATCAATAATAATTCTAAAGGTATCTGTGATTATTTTTGCAAGTGAGTCAGCGCAATATTTAAGTAATATATAAGGTATATTGTCTGGAGAAGTAGAATTTTTACTAGGAAGTGATCTGAGGGTATCCCACACAATACTAGTACTTAAATCTATGTCTGTAAACTTTGATTCTGGAATTATATTTCCATCGCTATCTGAGAGATTAATGCTTCTTTTTTGAAAATTCTTTTGAAACCCTTTTCCCAAAATATTACATTTTTCTTCATCGCTGAAGTAAAATTTGTTTTCTTTATCAATTAGACAGGGAATATTATTATCTTGCGTAAGTCTGTTTCTAATATACTTATGTATCGAATTTCCACCTTTATTGATTATTTTTTCTTCATTTGTGTTATGATGAATTTTTAATTGCTTTTTTAGGTTTCTTGAGACGATTTTATACTTAACTCTTAAATTGTTATCATATATTCTTTCTTTAAGTAACCTAAATAATATAAGCTTTTCTTTGTGTAATTCCTTAATTCTTTGAGGGTATGCTTTTCTTATTATCTTATTTAGTGCTCTCATTGGTATATATTTGTTATAAAGACATAGAAGTTCTTTTGTTAAATAAATGTATTTATCTTCCACTGTGAATTTCGTTGATATACCTAGATCTAAATTATTTCGAAATATGACTTGATTTAGATTAATAAAATTGGATTTACTAAAATCTCTTACGTAACTCTTGGGCTTCCTAATTACTTTAACACGATAATTAAGCTCAAACTCTATCATTTTGTGATCGGAAGTTGAAAAATTCTCCCTAACTTTAATAGTTCTAACAATACCGGAATCAGATGTAAGTACTAGGTCCAGGATTGAATTTTCCCTAGTTGGTTCAGTAACAAGTTGTTTTAATTGATTCTGACCTATAAACTCTATGAAAATATTCGCGATCTTGTCATAATTGTCAATTATTTCGTTAGAATACCAGTTTATGTGTCTAATGTTAAAATCTCCACATAATATAGTTTTTTGGTTGATTTGATTTAAAAGGAATTTAAATAACTTTTTTGTATTAAGAATTGAACTATTTGGTGTGTGATAATTTAATAAAACTTCTAAATTTTTTGGGATCATTTATTTTAAATGATTCATTTGGAAGATTATTCCATTTATTTACCACCCTATGAAAAAAATTATTTTTTGTTCTGTTCGTGTGTTTTTTAATCCTTAGAAGTAGAGGCCTGCGAAGTGATCTATTTGAAAAATTAAAATAATTTTGGGAATTAAGAGATGTAAACCCTTTTATAATTTTAAAAGCAGTGGAAAGATCGGCAATCTTTCTTCTATCTATTAACTTTTCAAGTTTGCAAGTATTTAATCTTTCTTCATATGGGACCTTGATTAATCCACATTTTTTGTAAATATTCTTAGTGAATAGTTTTTGAATTCTTTCGATTTTATCTATTTGATATTTCATGTGTGGATTCCACACTTCAGTTGCATATTCTAGCTGGGGTCTTATATAAGTTTTATAAATATTAACAAGAAGATTTAAGTCTCTAGACTTAATGATTCTTGTTATTTGGAAACTTTTTAGATATGCATTTTTTATAACCATATTTATATGGTTATTAAAAGATATTTTAGAATCAATTAAAACTCCAAGATCGCGAATGCATTCTGTTTCTTGTATTTTTAATCCATGAATGTTATACTCTCTTTTCAGGTTATTTTTCCCTAGATATAAGGCAAAGCACTTATGAGGAGATATTTCTAAACCATTTAACTCTGTCCATTTTTCAAGTTTCCATAAAGCTTTATTAAGTTCATCCCTTTCTATGCCATTTCTATGAGCTACATATAGTTTTACGTCGTCTGCATATAATTTTATTCCAATGTTTTCAGGGATTTGATTCGGAAGATCATTTATAAAAATAAGAAATAGAAGAGGTCCTAAGACACTACCTTGAGGTACAGCTGAGAATGTTTCATATTCGCAAGATATTTGGTCACCAATCTTAATCTTGAAATTTCTATCAGATAGAAAATTTTTAAGAAATGTATAGACTTTTCCACTAATGCCTGCTTTTACTATCTTATCTAGAAGAATATTTATCGGTACAGTGTCAAATGCCTTAGCAAAGTCAATGTATATGATATCTATACTATATCCATCTTGTATTGCATTATATAGATCATTCATTGTGGATAATAACTGTGTTGTTGTGGATCTTGATTTAAGAAACCCAAAC